TATTAAATAAAATTTTAATCGATGCATATTATATATACAGAAATGCATACATATAAATAATGCGTATGCCAGCTCTATGAAGTGGCACAAACCAAATACATGCGTGTGCTGCCACCAGGATTAAGAAACAGAACATTACCAATATCCTCAAAACCTCCCTCATCTCCCTTTCATTACTGCCCCATTCCTCTCCCCCAAAGTTAACATTCTCTGGACTTCTAAAACAATATATTTGTTTTTACTCTTTTTGACTTGTGAAGGAATGGAATCATACAGCATGTGCTCTTTTGTGTCTGGCTTCTTTCACTAAACACTACATTCATGAGACTCTTCCATATTGTTGCACAACACAGTGTTTTGTTTTTTGTTTTTTTTTCATTTCTGTATGGTAGCTCATTGTGTGAAGGAATGACAATTTATTTATCTATTTGCTTGTGGATGTACACTTGGGTGGTTTCCAGTTTGGAGTTATTTTGAATAAAGCATCTATGAACATTGAGGTCCTTTGGTGAACTTCGGACATATTTCTTGAGCATATTTCTTTGTTGAGCATATTTCTAGGAGTTGGAATTGATGGTTCATAAGGCAAGGACATTTGCAGTTTTTAGTAGATACTGCTAAGAATTTTCCAAAGTGGTTGTACTAACGGGTACCCCCACAAGCAATGAACTTTGTCCCCAGTGTTTCATGTTTTCACTCCTTGTTATTGTAAGTATTTTTTTATTGCTATGTCACATATGACATTATGGTTTTTATTTGCATTTTTCTTAAGACTAGAAAAGTTGAGCACCTTTTCAAATGTTTATCTGCCATTTTGACATTCTTGTTTGTGAAGTATCTGTTCATTTCTTTTATTCATATTCTTTTTTTTACAGGACTGTCTGGCTTTTACTTATTGAATTTAAGAGCTCTTTATATATATTCTGTACAAGAGTTCTTTGCTAGATACCTGTATTACAAATATTTTTTTCCATTCTGTGGTTTGCATTTTCATGCTATTAATAGTATGTTTTGATGAACAGAAATTTAATTTTTAATGTAGTCCAATTTATCAGTCGTTTTCTTTATACTTAGTGCTTTTTGTATCCTATTGAATAAATAGCCCCAAAGTCATGAGCTATTCACCTGTCTTGTATTTAAGAACATTTTTTTGTTTTACCTTCCACCCAGAGAATATGATTCTTCCTCAGATATTTTTTTTCCTCTTACTTCTCTTATCAAACGAACAGAATTACTCCCTCTTCTGAATCCCCATAATGCAATGCACTACTTTTATTTTCCCTGTTACATTATGTATTATGTTGAATCATAGCTATTTGCCTGCTCATTCTCTCTATCTCATCCCCACATCCCATTTGCTGATTATCTAAATTCTTCATAGTCTTTTCATTAAGTCCTGATCATAATGCTCCTAAGTAACTCCAGAATTGGCCTTTTTCTTCTCATCCCACCTGCTACTTCCATGGTCTAAATGTGTGGCATTTCATCTTGAGCACTGTAATAGCCTGTTCTCACTGACCTCTAATCTACCCTTCTCTAATTAATTGCCCACACAAGAGCCAAAGTGATCTTCCAAAATATCAATCCATTAATGCTACTTAAAAAAAATAAATAAATAAAATAAACACACTACCATGATGTCCACTGTTCTCAAATTAATGTTCAACTCATTAATGTGCTGCAGAGGCCTTCCAGGATTTGAAGGATTATCTTGTCCTTCTCACCACTGATGTCTTTGTTTTAATCTAAGACTTTTTTATTTCCTTGAATACCCTTCATAAAGACTCCTCTGTCAGCTCATATATCCATGTCACTGCCCGCCTATTTATCCTTGGGGTGTCACCCTATGTATCTTTTTTGCAGGAAACTTTTTCAACTCTGTAGTAGGTTAAGTCCCCATACTATCCTATAACCCACAAACTTTTTTTTCCATTAAAGTTACTTACATTTATTCGTTTGAAGCCCATTTCCTCGGTTAGAGTGTATATTTACTTGGGGCAGAAAGTATGTCTGTCTTGTTCACTACTTTATCTTTTTGCTTAGCTCATTACCAAGATATGTTCTTACAAATAATATTTGTTGGGTTGAACTGATTTGTGCTTACATGCCCCGGGTCTAGTATTGGATTTGGCATGTAATTAGTCTCAATAAAGATTTCATGATTCATCATTCTCATAAAATCTTACAGTCAGTATTGCTAAGGACCTAAAACCACTTACTTCAATCACCCAAACCAACTGAACGATTCTTAAATAATTTGTATAACATTCTTACCAAATATCATCTACTTATAACTCTCTGACTAAAGGGAGTCATTGCATTCTTCAGCAGCAGGTCATCTAGGTGTGGGCATGAATCCGCATTAGACAGACCTATTTTATACTAACTTAAAAGTTGGGATTTTTTATAATCCCCCCCCCACCAGATTGGGCTTGGCCCATTTTATCCATATTAATAAAGTTGACTATCATTTATGCAAAACAGCCCTTCAGACATCTGTAGAAAAGTCCTTTTTGCTCCAAGTTAACCTTCTTCCCCTATTTATCATAGGTCACCCTCCTTCCAGACACACTTCAGTATCTCAATACCCTTCTTGAAGTGTGATGCTCAAACATAAACCTGATCCTCCAGGTGTGCTCTGACCAATATAGAGAAAGACAGGGCTGTCACCTCCTTATTTATGGATAACATACTTCTAATAATGTAACCAATGAAAGAGCTGAGTTTTGGAGAACAGAACTTTATACAATAGCTGCTTTTTGAGGGAAGGGATTCATAATTGTATATGAAACTAAATTTGTATTTAGAATGAGAAAAGGTGAAGACTTGGAAGCTGAGAGATCCCTGGAACTTAAACTTCATTGGCTTCAGGGTACATCAGCCTCTGAATGTCCCTAAAATCTCGATAAATTTCTTGATAGTAACAAGCTATAAATCTCTTTTAGATGTATTTCAACCATAACTTACAGGCCTATTCATCCCGTACATGCCAGCAGGGTGACCAAAAGAGTCTGCAGCCAAACTGCCTCGATTCAAATTCTGGCTCTCAGTTCACAAGACACAGTAGGTGTCACATGAGCTAATGTGTTGAAAATCCTGGCACACCAAAGGCAGATTTATCTTTCTCATGTACTTTCTTAACAGGCATTACCAAACCCTGCTGTCTACTCTTTCCTCTACTAAAGCAGGTAGGATTTTTCTCCATGTATTTGAGGTTTTTTTTTTCATATTGTGTTAACACTAAACTACTTTCTCAGCCTGAGTTTCCCTGAGGGATTTTCATTCTCTGCTCTCAAGTGACACTACCAAGCCCTCCCTGCACCATTTTCCAACCATCTTCTATAACAGGAGCATGAATCAAAGAGTTGCCAGGGAACCGGAATGCGAAAGTCATATTCGGCTCTGCTTAGCTTTACCTGCCAATCTCAACCCCACTTCCTCCCACTGACATTCAGAATCACCTTTATCATATACCTTTCTAGAAGGTCACATTTTTAGTCTGCTCAAAGTTAAGCATGTCATTTTTTTTCTGACTATAAAGTTAATACATGATCATTGTTGAAAAGTTAGAAAGAAACTGGAAGCCTCAAATAAATCATATATAACCTAACCATCTGGAGGTAAGTTCTTTTAACATCTCAGCATATTTCCTTGCAATGTTATTTTTACTTATCCTTTTCCATTGTTAAGATCATGTCATGTATTCAATCAGAAGCCTTCTATTTGTTAATTAACAACATATCCAATAATTTTCACATTTTCTTGAAAATTATTTGTAAACAACACTTTAGTATGGCCTAATATTATTGCATAGATGCACTTAGTCTTCTCATTGGAAAATCGAGAGCTTTACATTTTTTTATATTATAAATAATGCTTTCCAAAACAGTACTATCTGTACCCAAAGCCTTATCAGATCTCTTCTCTGCAATCTCCTCTCCTTTTTATGATGCAGATTAATAAGAGTGAAATTACTACTTAAAGGGTATGTTTCTCTTTAAGGTAATGAATATATATGGAGTACCTAACACAATCTTGACATATAACAGACATCAAACAAATACAAATACTTATAAATGTCGACAAATTATCTCCCACAATGGTTGCATTCTCACTAGCCCTGTCTGGGAGTATTTATCTCTCTACACCCCAGCCAGCATAGAGTGTTAGCATCTGTAAACTCTGTTACAAGTGTGTATGTTGTGTGTATATTTAAGGTTACACATGATTAGCAAATAAGAAGAAATAAAAATTAAGGAGAATCAAAAATTCTATGAGATGTCTTATATTTCTTGGGATTCAAATAACATCTGCCAAAACATGTTGAAAATCAAAAATAATAATGCAGAAAATTTAGAAGATAAGATATGAAACTTTAATATATATTAGGTCTGGGCATCTATAAATAATACTGCTTAGACATTTTCATCAAAATAATCAGATAGAGCTCACATTTCCTTACTTTCTATCTGAAAACTAATTAATAACCATGAATTTAATGTCCTGTGTATGTCAAAATTCTAAAAATATATACATGATGTCATAACTAATTTCCATGCTTGTGGTTTTCATTGGTTTTTCTGTCTTTTATCTTCTTTTTTTTTCTTTTAAAGCACCTTTTATTTCAGAATATGTCATAGACATTTCATACCAATACAGATCTACATCATTATAGAATATCTTTGTGTCATAATTTATTTCCCCAGCCCTATATTAATGTTTTTGCTCTTACGAATAGCACAGTGGGCAACATTTTTGCAAATGCAGCTTTGTTCTCCCTGCATACCATCCCTTCTGATCCCCTTCTCCCCATATGACACCTGCGGGCTTCTCTCCCTCCCACCACTGGCCCCACCTTTTCCACTGGCTGGCAACATTTTTGCAAATGCAGCTTTGTTCTCCCTGCATACCATCCCTTCTGATCCCCTTCTCCCCCATATGACACCTGCGGGCTTCTCTCCCTCCCACCACTGGCCCCACCTTTTCCACTGGCTTCCTACCTTGAAGGTGCAGTTTGCTCTCCGTGCTTTGCAGAAGGACAGAACTCACAGAGTCCAGATTGTCATAGCTGTTACAGCCCAGAGGCCCAGTGCGTGTCTCTGTGACCTGGAGTGGACATCAAGTGAGATGAGTGTGAGACAGGTGTCCTTTTCTAGGACAGAAGCTGAAGAGTCATACCCCAGCAGAGCAAAGCCAGCAGAGAAAGTCCTCACACCTGAGTCAATGGCCACTTCCTGAGCACCTTGCCTGGGCTTGGGACCATGCTTGGATGTCACTGAGTGGATGGAATAACAGGGAGGTCAAGCACACAGACTGGTTGCCTAGCTTCTCTCCCTGGTTCTCACTTCATATGTTGCTGTATTATATGAACTATTACATTGAAGCACTATAGTATATTTCAAAAACATGAGCTTTGGAATCACGAAAATCAGTGTTAAATTCTCGCTGGGCCATTTATTCATTGTGTGACCTAAGGAATTCGCTTAACTTCTCTAAGCTTCTATAAACTAAAGCTACTAAATCTCTTCCAGGAAGGTCGTGAGGCCAGACATGATGGGTGTTTAGTGCCTGGCATATGGCCTGTACTTAATAATGGGCATCTTATTATAAAATGTTTCTATAAATTGTAATGAACACATATACATTATTACTATTAGGCAAGTGATAAAATTATCCCCCTTTTTCAAAAGAAGTTGCAGCAACAAGCATAATCAACACCACTGAAGGAGAAAACACCTCAATCCTATGGCCATGTACTTCCAAAATTAGAAGATTTGATGTGGTAGACAATAGGGGAACAGCTACTGAAAAAAAAAACCCAGAAATAAAAATGGTTTAGTATGAAAAGAGGCCTCTTCATCTCTTTAGCTTTCACTTAACATTATTTAGGGTTTTTTGAGGTTTTCACCAGCTATGAAGATGCAGCATCCATTGTAGGGAATGACGACATGGGAAACAGCCACAGGGACCCCCTCTGCCCTTTTCTACTTGTGCAACCTTGGATCAGTAACTTTCCCTTTCTAAGCCTCAACTTCCCCATCTGTAAAATGTTAGTAATGGTGTAACCTTAATAGATAAAGAGATATTTTCGAAGTGGTTAGCACTTAAGATAGTAAATAAATGGAGGATAATTAGATTATGTTTTGTTTGTTTTATAACTAATTTATTCCTCTTTGTACAAAATAATAAAATAGTTACTACTGTGTGGGAGTTAAAACTATCATTTTATTTTACTAAAGATCCCCATGGTGGGGAGGAGGAGAAATGAGCAAAATTTCTCCACTAGGTCAGTGGCTGGCCTTCAGCAAACCCGATAGTCAGACAAGCTTTTGTTGGTAGGGTCTTGAGGTAGTGACAATAAAAGGGAAAAAAAAAAAAAAAATCCAAGGGCAAAATTGAGTGCACACGACAGTGCCTACTGTAAGAACAGTTTCTTGAGCAGCCTCTGTGCAATTTTTCAGAGAAATTCCTCCTAAGGACGCAGACTGCACTTCCAGGGTGCACAAAAGAGGATTATCTTCTGACAGAGCTTCAATATCTCAATCCGCATCCCATCCAGGGGGGAGAGAACCATTGGTGATAATGAAAACCAAGCCTTTGCAGCACTCTGCGTCTGATGGCTTCATAAAGATCCGTCTCCCTGTGCTGAGTTCCCTAACAACATAATCTCCCCAATACAGGCGATTCTTCTCAGATAAGCTGGCCCTTTGTTTGTCGATCTGATTTATTTTTCTCCTCTTGCTACCTCCCTCCTCAGTAACTCTCTCCCTCCCACACTTTTCTCTTCCCTTGGTCAATTTCTGACTCACCTGCCTGAGTCTTCCTTGACCTTACTCCTACTTCTTTTCCCTAGAGATGTATTAGAGAGTCTTAATATAAGGCTGGGTCTGAATTTTATGCAGGAAAAAAAAAAAAATAGAGTGAAGATTGAGAAGTAATATGCAGCATAGTCTGGTTTAAGAAAATTTGACATGAAAAAAATCTGCATGGAAACCCTTAGAAGAACTAATCATTTATATCAAGGACGTACTCCCACATCCTTTCTACAGAGGCAGTTTCTGAATTTATTGTATTTAAAATGAAATATTTTAAAGTTCCTATGCTCTAAGATACCAAATTAAAAGTCTAGAGCTGCTTTATCCAATATTTAACTTTCAATTAATTAAAATTAAATAAACTTACAAATTTAGTTCATCAGTACCCACATTTCAAGTGTTCAATAACCCATGTGACTAGTCAGCAAACAAGTGGCTGTTTTTGTAAATAAAGATTTATTGGAACACAGCTGTGCCCACATGTTTATGCACTGTCTATGGCTGCTTCTATGCCACAATGGCAGAGCTGAGTAGTAGCAACACAAACCATATGGCCTGCAAAGCCCAACATATTTATCACCTGTCCCTTTATAGAAAATGTTTCCTAACCTCTAGTCTAGAGAGTATAGTGCCTGTTAAGTATGAGGACTGTTGATAATTTATACCATGACCATAGCTGCTCCAGTAAATCAGCACCTATGGCCACTGTAATGACAATGCTTATGATATTACAGGGCACTCGACAACCTCAGTCAGAGTAGCTGGCCACCATCAGCTATACAGGTATGAAGCCGGGTATCGCATCTGTCCATCCACTCTGAGGATGTCTTCCTGCAGTGTTGTTGTCTTCAGAACCTGCCACCCAAATCCCCCCCAAGCTGTACCTTGATTGCTCCTGTTGATATCTGGATCTCATGGAGCCTCCGCATGGTGCCATCACGGTCGACAAAATAGGACGATGCAAGCTGGTGCAGAG